TCACAATTCCAGCCATTTTTTTTTTTTCCATTGACAGAGGGAGGGGGGATGTAAAAGGTACTTAATAACCTCTGTGTATGAACTTGAGAGAAATATGATCTTAATATCTGAAATAGCCAAGAAAAACTAAAAAAATTATTAAAACCGATAAACTGTGGAGCAGCTTGTCGTACCCATTTGGGGATAAGTTGTAAATGCTACTGTTTGGTCAAATAAAGACAAATATGAAAAACCATGAGTGATGAGGAATGTTACACCATAAGCAAGATGTGTTGTCAAAACTTCTTTTAAGTAGCTCTTGCAGTTGTGCTGTTAATGCCGAAGGGGCATTGCTGCTCTTTTCACTCCTGCCTTTGAGGGTTTGGGATTTGGTGGGGAGGTGAAGAACAGTCTCATGGGCACCAGAGTATGTTGGCAAGAAGGGAAAGAATCATATTAAATGGTGCCATTAAAGCTTGCAGCTCTATCTTTACTAGTTTAATCTCATAAATTAATCCACATCCTCCTAGAATAAGTCTTCAAAGAGAAAGAGGTAATTGGATATAAATACTTTCCTTCCCCAAACCCTGAATTACAGTGATACAGCAGCAGGCAGCTTTTTGCACTTTGATGTATTTGCACGATTTTCATTCCCCTTTTAGCCTTAGTCTTGGGCCTCATTCTCTCATTACTTTTCTGCAGCCAGCTGTGCTCTCTCTGCTTCCTATCTTGTCCTCTAGCCACCCCCTGTGGCCCTTTCTTCTTTTAAGAGGCTCAGCCATCGCCCCTCATTGCTCTTTGTTTTCTACTCTTCTCCTTGGGCCTTCACCACGATGAAGTCAAATGAAGTATTTGTGCCCATGTGTGCAGATAAAACCCTGCTGAATACTGCAAAGAGATGTGAGCTTACTCCTATACATAGAGCCAACTGCTGCTCTGTGCTTTTCTGGTAGACCTGCACCCCGGTGGCTCAGCTTCTGCTAAGCAGGAGCAGTATAAACTCAGACCCACACAATACACTGTGTAGATGAAATCCTTTGTTTTCTCCAAGTGGAACTGACATGTTTTCATCACTCTTGATCACCTCAAGTCTCTAATGCACTCTGAACCCTGTCCTGCTTCTTTGCTGTCACATTAGATTGGTAGCTTCTTAAGACAGCAACTGCATTTTGAATTAAGTCTGGCAAATGGGCCTTTGTCCTGATTCAATGAGTCGCACCTTAGGCGTGACAGCAAGATAAATATGCCCAAGGAACTCCCAGTGCCTGACACACACAAGGCTGACAAGGAAACCAAGGCTTGGGCTGAGAGCAAGTTACCTGGGTCCATCACAAACAGTATGATTTTGCACGCTTCTTGGACAACTCTTGGGCAGACTGCCTAAATCCATGAAGCGCTTGTGCTCTCAAGATGTGGCATGGGACTGCCAGAACCAGTGCTCTTCCCAGTAGACAATGGTCTTCCTCTGTGCTTGAGCAAGCTGTGGAAGTAGTTGTCTACTGCATGGAACATTTTGATTCAAGGAAGTGATTCGATCTGAAATGACTGAGACTTGAGGTCAGCAGTCTAAAGTGAGACTTGAATAAGAAAAGTGAAGGCTGTGCTAAAAGTTTCTGAAAATATTAACATGCAGCCAACTCCAAATAAGTATTTCTAGAGTATTTACCAAAAATTCCTGAAGAGCTGAATCAAAATAAATACTGATTTTGATATGAAGTTATTCGCTACAATAGCAGAAAACTGATCTTGCTGATGAAGGAACCCCCTTCTAGTCCTGGTTTTCTGTAGACGGTGTCAGACCGTATGTCTTGATAACTCCAAATGAAACCAGAAGAAACCAGTTGCAACAAAGTAAGTAGAATTGTCTAATTGGTAGTACATTATTTCTGCTTGAATAAATTTAGGGTTTTGTGCGCTTTATCTCCCTTGCAACTTTTATCTTTATTTTTACAATGTTTTTATATGTGCAGCTGTGACAGTAGAGTCAGTACTATAAGCATTCTCCATCATCCTGTAGGCTTTTCTTAGGACTGACTTCTCATCTGGCTAAAATTCATGCAAATTAAGTCTTGTTCAGGAAAAGATTTTTGGTAATTTCCATGCTGGAGATATTCTAGCTGGCTTCTACAAGGCTCATCTGGAATTAGCTCTATCCCACTTTTGCAGGATTTAATTCAGGTTGGAGAACTCAACTTTGAACACTCTCTGGGTTCGGGGGAGGAAGAAGAAAACATAAGTAAGAAATATTTTTGAAAGTACTCTCATGTAGACTAAAGCAACAGAACCATGGTCAGTTCTTGGATCTCCGTTTAAGGATTGTAGGTGGATCTTTTAATGAAGATGGGAAAGATCTTTTTAGATGGAAAATATCTTCACTTTTGCTTGGCTTTAGGTATTTCTGGTGAATGTAGCTAAGCAGGAACACCCTGAACCTCTACCAGAAATATTAAGCATGTGTTTAAAAGATTTCATTGCCAAAAGTTACAACAAAAGAGCCATGAAATAAACCCTCTATGCAGAGATGACCAAGCACTGCAGTCCTGCACTCCTGGCTCTTTATTTGTGAAAGATATGAAAGCTGAAGGAGCGTTAGGCAGCAGTCATTGTGTTTTGAGCCCTCAAGGAAACAGTGCAATAAAAACATTTCTTCTCAAACATTGTGAGTTTGGCTGAAATGCTCCACCAGAGGGCTGGTGTAGGGTTCGGTTACCTTTGGTTGCGAGAAAGAAAATGGACTTCTCCTGAACCAAACCATAATCTTCTGGAAGTAGGAATAAAAGCAGATGATCTTAGAGCTGACTCTGACACTTAACAGCATAGGTGCTACTGGACTAATAAGGATGTTTTCACTTTGTGCCACCAGCATGCAAGGTCTGGAGCATGCCAAGTACTTCTGCCTTGGAAACTGGCAGAAATAGGGCCTCACTGAATCCAGTCCCTACCTAAGTGCTTGTTTTAGAGGCGAAATAACAAGCTAGTGTTGGTCTTGGGCCTCTTTAGAGACTTGCCCAGGAACTGGCTTTATCTTGTTAGAGGAGAGCTGGTGTTAGCGTCTGATACCCATAGCCTGCCATTAGAAAATATGGCTTATATTGGTTTTAGTAGGAATGAAATGTCCTCTTAGAGCAACTGAGTTACTACTCTAAAACACAGCTCCTCTTTTCATAGGCTTTGTGGGCCTTGCTCTTGAGAGGAATTGTTGTTTTTTTAACTCTGTCAGTCCATTAGAGAGAGCAGTTTAATCAACCAGCCATCCTAGAGCTGGTGCCCCGGATGTATTGGCTAGGTTTGCACCACCTGCACTGGGAGCTTGGTGCCCATCTCACTTGTGGACAACTATGTTGAAGTGTCTTAATTTGAAGCCGAGTCATGTATTCCTCCTGTTTCTATTTAGGAAGAATGTGATTGGGAGGGAAAATTATGTTTTCTTAATTTCCCTGCTAAGGAGCATTACAGTACTTTTTTTTTCTACATGCAGCAATAACGTCTTAATTGTAACAACTTCTGCTTTACCTGCAGGATAAAGACTGTGGTATTTACCTACAGCTTCCCAGGGGTTAAGAAGCAGTCTCTTAGCTGGTTTTTGTTTTGTTTTTGGGGTTGAGTCCTAGGGTTTGCTCACCATGCAGTGTCAAGTTAGGCAAAATGTTTGCCTTGCTAGTGATTCCAGTGACTGTGTGACCTCCCAGGACTTATCTGCATCCCTTGAGAACAAGTTTGTCTGTTCCTGGATGGGTCTTCAGGATAACATACATTTAGTGATACAACCTACTTTTTAGTACTACCTCTAACTTCTTTATATTTGGTGGTTTGTTTTTTTTTTTTTTTTTGTACCTGCTCAGTTGCTAAGAAAGAGCTTGATGACCTGGAGCGGTGGAAGGAAGAGCACAGGCCAGGGCCAATTAAGCTGGTTCCACAGAGACTGGGTAAGATGTATAAATCAGCTATTATGAATTGCAAAATTTTATTTTCCAGGACATGAGACATTTTTCACTTTTTCTCACATGCTGCTTATTAAAGAGCTTCAGTATCAATAAGGGCTGACATGAGCCTAATGTATGTGCTCTGTGCTTTTTGATGGTCATGGCAATGAAGACATTTCTGAAACAAAACAGCATAGATTGTAGCTCAAGAAATCTGTCAAGATCACTGTAGAAAATCTATACTAATATTTGGGAAAAAGAGGTGGATTATCCCTCCTGTTGGTGACATTGTCTGTGGTTGATGCCTCTGAGGGAATGCACATTTGGCATTAGAGCACAAATGGACAGCATGTGTCTGAGACCCTCCAGTTACCCATAAGAAAACTCTTCTGTGTTAGGGGCTGGTACGTGTGCTTTCCTGATGGCTGGCTACTGAAGAGGCTGGAGGGATCCCTGCAGCTTCAGAGGATAAATGTGCATGAGGCTAAATGTGCATGAGGCTCTGTATTACCAAATTTATAAAAATAACAACAGAGTTAGGTAAATAAAAAGCGAGATAAAAAGCTACAGGAGCTTAGGTCATGTTGAATTGAACTGAGGTGTTTGATAAGATAGCCAACTATTTCTAGACAAGTGAGAGAAACTGCAGTGGATGTCTTCGATTGTAACCACTATAAAGCATTTAATTTAGTGCTATTTGGGAATTTAAAAAAATAAAAAGACCAAAAAAAAAAAAACCCAAACCCCAGCACACACCCGATCTTGTACAGAGAATAGGGCTGCAGGTTGTGCTGAAGTAGGAGGAAGGTTATTACCAGTGCTTTACAAGTGCTTTTCAGACCTATCTTGTTTTAGTATCTTTCTTTAATGTCTTTGGCACAAAAAGTAGAAGAGAGCTGATGAAACTTACTGACAAGACAAAATTTGAAAGCATCATCTATAGAGAACATGATGAGGATACTGCACAGCGAAAATGGGATGACCTTGAGGAACTGCACTAATAGAAATGGGACAAAATTTGTTCTGACAAAGTGAATTATTAGAATGATGCCTATATTAGTTTTGTAAAACTAGAGCTCATCTTCCTTCTTTTGACTGTTGTAGGAGAATTTGGCGTACACAGTGCAGGCTACTATCTGCGTGACCTGGGAACTAAATTCTTTCTTTGCCATGCTATACAAGATAAGTTGGGGGTGGGTTACTGTGTATAAAAATAGATACCAGGTGGGAGATGGAGGAATTTGAACTGACTCCAACCCAATTTGTTTCTGGGGTCAAGGCAATAATGGTCCCACATGTTTGTTTTGCCCTGCAGCCTGAGTCCCAGTTGCTTGCTGAGGTGAACCTACCTTTGCAATATGATGCCCTGTATTCTCACCATCATATGGCCAGAGATGCTCTTTGTGAGTTCATAAACACTAGCTGCTTCTTGCCTGTGAGCGGTTCGTAGAAGACATGCTTCTGTCCCAAGAGGACCGCAAAGCTTTTTTTCTGAAGAAAGCAAAATCTGAAAACAGATAGTTGGTGTGTGCTGTCTATGCAGAATGTGTGCAGGCTGGCTGTGTGACTGGGGATGTGGTGGCAAACACACAGTGACTAAGAGTGTGGGGTGGGGAGTCTTAACTTCTTCTAATCTCACTGCATTTAAAAGCTTTCTTGGGAAAGAAGTGAGTTAAGGAGAAGAAAAAAGGCAAGAAAAAGCTAAAAAAATTCGAGGAGGTTATTTGAGCTCTTCAGTCACTGTCTCGCTGCCACTTAGAAAGTCCCCTGGAGACTGAGGCACATGCACTATGTTCACTGCCTCTGAAAAGAGTTAAGGTGCAAAGATTATTAGATCTTATCATTCCCATAGGAGCAAATTTGGAACAGAAGAGAGCTCAAGGAAAGAAAAAAATATAAGTGGCATCTCTAATTTCACGACTTTAGGTACTCATTAAGAAAAAGTATCCTATGTTATTTTCTCAGAGTGATTTTAAGACACTACACATCTAGTCCAAATCACCAGAGAATTCTTACAGTTGAAGTTTCTTAACACTTATACTTTCCATAGGGAAATAAGTATTCTGGATATCAACTCCCTAATATTTGACTGGCAAACTTTCAGCTACCACAGAGAGATGAGAGCAATGAAGGATCCAGGTTCTACCCTCCGCCATAAGCAATGAGTGGAACAACAAATCATGCCTTTTAAATGCAATGGCCTCTTTTTCAATCATATTATATAAAAACAGTCACAACATACTCTGAATTCAGTGAAACACTTGACATGTTACAGCCAAGCCAACTTGGATGAATTAAACCTGGCTGAAGGGCTATAGGTAATGGCTAATAATGACAGTAAAATGCTCGTTTAGAGCTGATGTCCAGCAGGACATGCAGAAATGTACAGTGAACGCAAGTATTAAATGTTGCCAATAAAAGGCTGGAAAGAAAGAAAGATCGAGCATCCAGAAGGTTTCAAATCTTGTTTACTAGCATTTTTTTCCTAGACCTGGGGAGGAGACACTCTACAATGCCAGCTTTATGCTTATTGCTACTGTAAGTTTGTTGCTTGTATACTGTGTCTTTCTTTTGAGATTAATCTTACGGAGTTATCTGTGTGCATAGTAATGTTTCCACATGTAGGTAATTGATTTCCCATTCACTGAACCTCACAAAAGCACCTTAAATTTAGTTACGTACCATTTGTAAGTGGAGAAAGCTACTTTAGTGAAGGGTGATCGCCCCTGAAAGATCTAGTATAGCTATGTTACATTTGAGGCAGCTCAGGTAGCACAGATCAGTCTGGCTGTTTAACAGTCCCATAGTGGGGAACTTCTCGGAAAATCACTAGGTGAAAATACAGCCCTTATCTTCAAAATGGGGTGAAGCCTGCTGGAAAATAGTAGATCAGAATGATACAATCAAACCCACTCCCTCTGTCCCATAAGACCTATTCTCACTTTGTGTGGTTCGCTTTTGGGTTTTTTTTTTGTTTGTTTTGTGGTGTGTTTTTTGGTTTTTGGGTTTTTTTTTTTTAATGAAGGCTGAACATTATGGCCAGAGCTTTAGATTTTCTCCAAAGAGACCCTGTGCCTTTGGAAAGGGCACTTTCTGCTACCTGGATATAAATAAGAGGTCTCTGGAAAAAGGCTTTGATTTCCATTTCAGAAAAGGGATTCTTCCTCGAGCCCCAAGACATTACTTAGAAGATATTCAAATGATAGCATCCCATTGGAGTTGGCAGAGACTCCAAGCTCCTAAATTTGATAAAAGAGAAACTTTTGGCAATAAAATTTCTGACTCTATATGTGACAAACTGAGCAAAGGTGGGGAGAGCTGGATCTGAAAACGAAGACTCATCTGCAAAGCGTGACTGATTTTCTGAAAATGGAATAGTTCCTCAGTAAACTGATCATATACTGTAGGGCATATTTGCTGGTAGAGTGGATGATGCAGTGGATGCCCTGTAAATAACAAGCTACTGCCTTTGATGGATGGATGAAACGATCAAAAAGGTCTTCTGTCTGTTCTCTTTAATGTCAGACAGCTACTGCAATTATGAAAAAATTCCTGTATATGCATGCATCCAGTCTGCTATATTGCTCTGTTCTGAAATGACTGGCATTTGAACTTAATATGCTTATGCAAAACACAATTTATACTTTTTTTTTTTTTAAGGTGGAAAGGAATCAGAGGCTCAAGCAAGGACAAAACAGCAAATGATGCTCATGCAATCTAAATACCAGCAAAAGGTCAGGAAGAATAAATTTGTGTGTTTATTTTAAGAACTGAAAAAAGCTTTTCATGAAATGTTTCATATGGCTATAAAATGAACTCACAGCTGCTTGACAAAAGAAAGTGATGAAACCTGAAGGAAGCCGCAGAAAACTAGAAACAAGTGTTCTGCACCAAAGAAAATGAGAAATCTGGCTATAAATATGTAACAACCCATATCGCAGATCATATCTAAAATGATAACCAGTACAGTTATATGCCACACTGTATCTTCTGGCATCCTGCCTCCGCTTTGACTAATTGATCAATGTACCACCCTTTTAGTGCTTATGTAGGAATGTTGTTCCTGTTATAAAAGGTATAAGTGCTTGTAAGTTATCAGTCAATTGTGTGATTCCTTGCATGGATGCCTGTTTATCAGTCCTATATTTCTCAGCCTTCATAAAGCCAATATTGGAGTAGCTGGTGCACAGCCTGCTTTATTCAGTGTGTCATTTAAAGAAAAAATTCTGGAAACTTTCCTCAAACACACTTTAGTGCAGTATAGGACTCAAGTCATCTTATGTGTTCTTTGTGTACATACATATGTAAAGGTTTTCTATGTTTATGTCATACAGCACAAGAGAGAAAAATATGTAGAAGCAAAAAAGGCAACTGAAAAAGCTGAAATCCTGAAGAAGAAAGCTATTCAGAGAGAAAAGGTAAACATGGCTATTGCAGAGTTGGAGCCCTATGACAGAGTTCATGTCTTGATGCTTTATTTTACTGAAATACATGGAACAGGCTAATTAAATTAAATGGTAGCCCTGGATTGCATCAGGGAGTTAGGAAATCCAGTCCTCCTTCTCTTTGTCACTGACTGAAGAATGCCTGACCTGGTGTTCTTTGGGGCTTCAGCATTCTTTTGGCTCTTCAGAAACTCCAGCCTTTCAGCTGTATCCATCCTGAAGAGTTATCAGAAAGGGAGAGCACCAGGGTCAAGATTAATGTTGTGTATACAGGTTATATAGTTCACTTTGGCATGAGCTTTCTCTGTAAAATCAGATTGTGGCAGATGGCACAAAGACCTTATAGAAGTCCATCATTGCCTGCTGTACACGTGGGAAGAATACAAGGAAATCCAGCCTGTCGTGGTGGAAAAGGCATCCAAATAATGAAGAGGTGAGTGTAGTCTATCTGCATTGTGCTGAGCGCACCCTGAAATTCAGCTGCCCCTCCAGACCCTTTGAGGGGGCACACCCAGATGCATTGTTAATATGTAAAATCACTGGTATTGGCCAAATATTGACATTAACGATAGCTCACTTTAAAATATTCAGGTTTATTTTGCATTTGTTTGCTTTTTCTAGTAATTCTCCCAAAGCATCTTTTCATCCTGTATGATGCATAAGCCCTTTTAAGAGTTCATTCATGTCTTCTTGGTGGAAAACAGGTAGCGCTCAGTTGAGAATGTAACGTGGAATTTAAATGAAAAAAGAAAAGGAAGGGAAGCATGATACCAATGTGCACAATAGTAATGAGAGAAAGAGAGATTTCAGGTTTGCAAGTTTTGTCTCCACAGCAGTAAAAATGTTTTGCTGTGCAGAAGCTGAAGGCTGAGATTTAATTTTAAAATTGTCACTATTGCATGGCGTACAAGGACATGCATAAACAAAAATAGCCTTAATTGCCTCTAGGTAAGGGGTAGTTTGTTCCCAGTCTTTCAGTGCTTAGTCTTTGGGAATAAGCCCATACACAGTAGCTCACAGGGGCCTTAAATATTATCATGAGAAAATGTCATTAACAGTTACCAGCTCATGTATGCTCCAGAAGCAGTGATAATAGAAATGGTAGAAAGGGGATTAATTATATTTTATTCACCTATTAAATATATGTTGTTTGCCCATGGGCATTGGACAAGAAAAATGTTGCAAGACTGCTATAATTTATAGTTACACCTAGAAAATATATTGATGTATCTGTTTTGTTTTCACGCTCTTTAATTTCCTTACCTTCACTCCCACAGATTATAAAATCTTTATAGATGTGGTAGATAGTAAAGCTGTAACTATCAGTTTCTTCTAAAGGAGAATGCAACATCATGGCTAATATCTTTGCCAAACAGACTGTTTCATTTGAATAAATAAACATATACCCACAAAACAAACAAGCAAATCAGAAGAGCATGAAAGGGAACTCTTAATTTGAATTTGTTTACTCAGGTTGTCTTCCACAATAGTGATTGAGCTGATGAAGATTTCTGCTTGGAATATGTTTATATATTGAAAATTCAAGTCTGTGTTTAAGAAAAGCATGCTGGAAAGGCACTAAAAGGTATTTATTTGGCTATCTCACCCCGCCTGCAGATGAAAGGCTCCTGAGACCTGAGTGTGACAGGGAAGGGATCCTGAAGAACTGGTACTGTAAGGCCAACACTGGGCCCTAGTTGCTGCAGGAGAGGAACTTTTTTTTAAGTGCTGTATTTATAGGCAACTGCACCTGCATGGCATCAGCTGCAAGCATGTCTTTCTGCAAATTCACGAGCCTTCTTTTCCTGCTGGCCAGTCCTCCTTTTGCTCAACGTTGTTATTCATTCAATAAAAACCAAATTGTCTGACAGTCTGGAAGGAGATAATAGCTAGCCAGCTTTATCAGCAGGGGCTCTGAAACTTTCACAGCTGGAGAGCTACTTTGCCAACAAACGTGAATGGTGAAGCCCTACAGACTAATGTGTGGTGACTAGAAGGGGTGCTGGTACTCAGCTCAGTTCTTCCTTGATTGTAAGGATAATGTACTGTAAGCCAGTGCTGCTTATGAACATAGGATCTGTTTATGTTACTGCTTTAATGGATGTTTTGCAGAGAAAAGCAGTATCCACTCTTCTGTTATCTTGGTGACCAAGACAAAACTGGGTGTCTGCCAAAGCAGTACCCAAATGTGGAAGGGCTGCCTTACCATCTGTACAAGTCCACCTGCCTGTCTCTGCCATTCTTTAATTAACCATGAGTTTAGGTGCTGGAATACTAACACTCTTGGCATCTGCCTCTCCAGCTCCCAGAGAGAAGAAATGTGGATATTCCCACCCTCTCCCCCTGCCACCCCTCCATTCTGTGTTCCACGGGACCAGTTTGTGAGCACTGGTACTCAGCTCTCTGGGTGTACCAGTGAACGGGATTTGCAATCACACACGCTGCATGTCAGGCAGCTTGTCCTGGGACTGCTTTGATTTATTCACAAGATAACCCTGGGCTGCATGAGTTTGGCTTTTCTTCTAAGCTAGTGATCTCTGAGTGCACACGGAAAGAATTTTGGAGAGACTTTGTAGTATTAACAGGGGAGTCCCCATTCCTGTATTTGTCCCCTAGTGATACAATGTCTGTCTGATCTGCAGAAGGTATGAGAGTACATGGGGAGTAGCATTATTATTATGTACTTATTAATAGCAGGTGTCTGCAGTTGGGTATCTTTTGTGCAGGCCTTCACATCACAGGTTTTTACCAGACTGAATCATAGCTTCTTTTGTGTCTTTTGGGTGAAAGGAATGTCAAAGTTCCCAACAAAAGCAAGTGGCTGATAGTTGGCTTCTTGTTTTTTTAAGCTTTCTGCACAAAATAGCATAACCTCAGTGCACTGGATATTTCTGGTTCCTGTCGTTCAATCTTTGTTCCTGTTACCCTGCCTTTAGCCTTTCCTTGTATATTCCAAATCATGATTAAATATTAGAAGATTCAAAATATTTGGAATCAAAAGGCTCAGTGTAATTCTGTGTGCAATTTTCTTTTGATCTTACATTACATAGTAACAGTTCTACCATCTTTAGAAACTGTCCCATTTAGAATAAGCTGTAATTTCATTTTATTCTTTATCAAATCATGTGCTCTTGAATTTGACTGTGTTAATCAGCATGAATGGCCTTTTTTGGGAATTTGTTAAAACCAGGCACTTTACAGACCTTCTGCTAATGCTTTTCAACATGTTTACCTTCAATATCACAGCTGTTCCGCTCTTGGCTTTGTTTTTGAAAACGGTGCCAAATGTGGAGTGCTTCGGCAATGTCTATTGATAAATTGTCATTAGTTAGAGAATGTCCCAGTCCTGTTGCCTGTCATTTGTATGTGTCCTAAGCAGGGGTTCCAGGGTAAACTTCCAGAGCAGAAAACAGTCACACCAACGGCAAGTAAATAATTTCAGTACGCTGGAGTTTTCTTCAGGCACCATTCTGATAGTAGAATAGCTGTAGGATATTTCCTTCTTTTTTATCTAGTGGGAGATGGGGGTGATATTGAAGGATTGTGTTTATCAGAGTTAATATGACTGTGTTGTTTTAGCTAGGAGCTAGACCACAGCAACTCTGGTGAGCATTGGATTTGAACTTTCAGGAGCCTTGCAATACAGTGGTGGATCCCACATCAAATGTTTTTTTCAGAGGTGAAGGCATCAGCTTTCAGTGTTAAGCAGTGGTGGGGAAAAGAGTGTGAGCTACTACTGGTGTCTTGAGGGTGTCAACATCACCTTAACAATAATAGATACCATCAGATTTCCTTTCTTTTATTTCTTTCACTGTGAATTGTGAAGTTGCACAGACGAGTGGGAATTTTTGCCTAAAAAATCATCTGTTTCTGGGTGGAGAGGTTAGGAGCAAACAAGATATCCTCTGAACACTATCAAAATTTACCTATACTGTGGGGTGATATTCCATACTTTAGTGTGATGGGTTTTTTTTTTAGTTGCATCAGTACTTCATACATTTAACCACTGTCTCAGCATGTCAAATGACTGAGCAACAGGACACCTTATTCAGAGATTCGTCTTCCTCCTTTTATTTATTTTCCCATTGCCTTTTTCCAAATAACAACTTCTAAGTCATTTGCCTCCCAACGGTTTATATCGTTACACAACATAGTGGCTCTTTTCTGCAGACATCTGACTGGATTTTTTTTTCTTAATCCTATCCATGCCGAGGAGGAATTTGCACTTGTTCTGCAAATCTCTTCTAGACAGTCATTCCTTATCCAATTAAAAAATACCCACCCTGAAATCACTGAAGGCAAAGTAATTGAGTAACTGCCAGTAGAACTGTAATTTTTCTGAAATGTTATTGATCTCAAGACAGGAAGAAAATTATGGGGGTGGGGGCTACAGCCCTGTTCTTAACACCACTTTCCTCCTACACACACACCCCCTGTTCTACCTGGCCTTGCACAATACCTCTGCTTATGTACAGTGCCCTCTCCCTGCTGTGGGGCCCTGACCAAGTGTGCCGTTCCCCCCTACAGCTCCCTTCTGGTCTCTGTAAGGTATTTTCTGAAATTGCCAGGGCACTTCATTTACAGCAATGTCTGGTTGCTGGGTTACCTAACACGTACTTTTTTGATTTTGAGGGTGGGGGATGAGCAGAGTGACAGTCCAAGGTGGCAGGTTGCTCAACGTTTTACTCGTCAGTCTCAGGTGGGAGCTCTTCTTGAAGCATCCCCCCACCAACTGCAGTGTGGGAGCTTGTGCTCAAAATATAGCAGGGCTGAAATCCCAGTTTGGCACTTCTGATTTGTGCTTTTAATACACTGAATTGCCTTCTGACTGTCTTCCCACTGGGCCTACCTACAGCGTGTGTGTCAAAAATAAAAATTTGGCTGGCCTCCTTTTGGTTGGATTTTAGCTTGAGCTACATATTGCTGCAGCAGCAAGTTCTCTAGTTTCTGCTTAATTTTAAGATTTTATTCTA